ACAGGTCACACTCCTGCTGTCATAACATCGGTGACATGTAATTATTGATTTCAAATGTCCTAAATCCAGCTCTGGATCTATTTACTATCTTTAGTTAACCGGAATTAATAGTATGAACTAAAAGCACTTATTTTACAAGAAAATTGTTGTAGCATTAATTATGAATACTAAAAGGAAAGGTTATCTTAAAATAAAGTTTGTAATGTTAATAGAAAAGTTGGAGTAACATTTAACAGCGGAAACCAGTAATCATGGTGGGTGAGACACGTGTCAAGAAGAGTCGACATCGTCAATTAGTCAAGCAGCGATGTTCCACGGCAGCTTTAGTCTGTGACAGAACAGACACGGGTATCTCATCCCTCATCCTTGTCACGAAAAGTTGTTCAAAGAAATATCAATAGATGGCGTTAAACAGGGGCGTGTTTTGGGATTCAGTGCAACGGTACTATAAGTTTTATTAAAACATCAATTAAAGTACAATGTTACAAACCAACCAAGTATCAGTCTGACTTGCGCACGAAGTGTTCCTACCACTATCCGTTAATAATTTAAAAAATCAAGTTGTTTTCTACTGACTTGATCGAAATTTTCGAGTAAATACAAATGGTGGCACAAATGGTCGGTCGACTGTTACTCGTAAACTTCTTAAGCCAACTTAAGTGTGACAGTTTTCCTTTTAACTTTGTTATATAAGTATAGTACTGCCGTAACGTTTGAATTTTTACCAACGACCGTTTAGTTGGTAGAGAGGGGGGGTGGGCGCACTTAACACTAACAAAAATTTTCTCTTTAAAGCTTAATATGTTACAAACCGTTTACTAAATCGAAAAACGGCTTTCCCACACCCCCAATATTTTTGAAAGACCTATTCAACGACGCTCCATACCATAATGAAATCGAAAAAATATATTAAGTAGGGTAGGGTAGGGATGTAGGATAAGTACCCTAAAGAATTTTTGTTTTTAAAATTCTACTTTACGGTTTTGTCGGCATAAATAAAGGGTATATTCATGCCAAATTACATCTTCCTAGCACTAATAATTTTTCAGCTAATCCGCTTACTGACGAATTAACGGGCATGGCGAAACTATAATGGTTTACTCGGTACCCTAAAAATGGATTTTGTGAATGATGACTCTGAACGAATAAACTATGTTCTAAACTGCCCTTTTGGCCACAGAGTAAATAACTCTCTGTCGTTATAATTTATGATTTTCACAATCCATTCAATATAAAAAAAATATTTCTATGTGTGTGATTCTGGGGGTAAAGTTCAGGGTAGTTTTACTCGTTCTCATCACAGTAAACATTTCATTTTAAAAGTGAATACTTAATTGGAACACTTTTTTCACGTCAGTCTACTTCAAAAGCAAAACATGCAACCTTTGATAAGATCACTTTATTGTTCTCCAGATTGTCTCCCTTTCTGTCTTTAAATAGGCAGACAGACTTTCGCCCAGTTGCACAAGCGTACATAAAATCTATGGAATAAAGCGACCTCGTCGATATAAAATTTAAAACATTTATTAGGGCTATAAAGACGTCATTAAACCTTAATGGACGTTTGTGCAAACTGGGTATGACAGCTTTCAAAGTTAATTTCATTTTTTTCTACTTGGTCCGTGTACAATGTAGAGCGGCCTTTTCTGATCATATTTGAAATATCGAAGGGCGAGTTGCGACACATCTCGACCGATCTATTTCGGCCACCCGGTCCGCCTCTCACGCGTAAGAACCAATTTATTTCACCTGACTCACATCTAATTTATCAAACTTTTTCGTTAAAAAGATTAAATATTTATGTCAATCTATACTATATATTAAATCTATGATCTATACTAAATATTTTAAAGAGATAAGATTTCTAACTTTGTTTGTTTGTACGGGATAATCTGCGAAAATACTGAACCTATCATGAAAATTCTTTTACCTATGCGGAGCTATGTCATGCGCGGGTGATGTAGGCTATAATTTACTGTCTATCTTTATAAGTGACAGACTTGTCAAAATATCGTTACCATCAGCATTCCCTATGGATAAAATTGAATAGAATAGAGAGGTATTCCCAATGTGGATTGGGGGTATAAGCGAGTGTAAATGCAGCTGGAACCAACAGTAGAAGTAGTAGTAGTAGTAGATAGGTATGTACGTGTATATGAAAAAAAATTCGTGCTATGTATACGATAATGAAGAACAACATTAAAATACAATTTTATAAATTGAAACAATAAATTCTTTTTATTAAATAAAGGTTTGACAACCAGAGATCTATTAAAATAATTGTAATGACATTACGGCTATACAGATAGATATAAAATGAGAACGAACGAAATGATATTGATCGTTTTCATAATAGTCTCGAAAAGGTTTAAACATAAAATAATTCAGTCAGTTTCAACTCGATTCTCACATCACTAGTAGTCGATTTATATCTTGCCACTGCCAATTTATACATCTCGAAATGCGATGTGATCGGATTTAGAAAAGTCGTAAATCTTGTTGCGTTTGGATTCAAGACGCCGAAGGTAGACGGGACGTTCGTCGGGCGGGCGGATGCATCGAAGATAATAGAAGAAAACGTGTGGTTTTGGAAAATATTTAATAGTAGGTATCAAACCAAAATAACGTTTGATTCGTAATTTTGAATTGTCATCAAAGAAAAAGAAATATATAGGTATACGTATGTCAGTCCGCGATTGTCTCGCATTGGCTGAACCGATTTTGATGCGGTTTTCAGAAAACTGTTTGTTACAGTTAGCAGACGGTTTTGGTATTGTAACCGACTTCTAAATGTTTTCATTTTGACCATATGTATATTTATAGCACTAATGATTTTTTTTTACAAAACTCTCAAAAACTTCAGCAATAGTGCTTTTCCTAGAAGCTACTTATTTATCCAAGAAATTGCTGTTGATGTCCAACTTCAGCCTTATTTGAATAGAAGTTTCTTGAATAATTGAGCTAGCTGATTATAAGATAAACATTATTTCTCACTTTAAGTTTGTAGTCAGTTCTATTTAAAAAAATGCACCTTAAAAAATTCACAAGTTATCCGATGTCAGAAATAGTACACGAACTTTATTTTTTTTATTTATTTATCCAACATACATCAGAAGTAACAACCAACTGTTTAGTACCAGATTAATAATATAAAGGTATTAACATTATGATATTTTAAAGTAAAAATGAAGTAGTATGTTAAAAAAGACAAAATAATCTCAAGGATATAAGAATGAGTACTAAATAATTACTCATCTGAAATTCACAGACACTGCAATATATTCACAGACGCTGCAACATGACAACTCTATATTTGTCGTCTTTGCTTCGCAGTTTCTTTACTATCGTCTAGCGTTTATTACAAAATAGTATATTTGAGTCATCCACTAAGATATATTTAAAACGTCTAAACACTTGTACGATGAGACTTTCTTTTTTCAAAACAAAGAGCTTTGTTATGAATGTAGCTATAACTTCTGCCTTGTGAACCGATAATACCATATTTTTTTTTAATTAATAGCGTATGATAACGGTCTTATAGAATTTACAATTCGATTTTTTTCTATTTTTTATATTAATAACCGATAAGTGTTAGCTGTTTTTTTATTAATATGAGCGAGACATTGATACTAACTCAAAATGCCATAGTCGCAACTGTTTTTCCAAAATAGCTAAAAACTTTGACTACTTATGTAAATTTTATTTATTTACACATATAACTATATTATATACTATGTGGTTATAATTTTATAACGCTGATATTTTTTAATTGTTCATTAAATATTTGTATACATTAATGATAACATTATCTATTTGAGCGATATGACCAATGAAAACAATAACTTTGTGAATAACTGTTTTATTAATATGCAGTAAAAGATAAAAAATTGAAAGACGAAATTTTATTATAAATAAAAATCAAAGCAGACAAAAATGTTACACCGAAAGTAATTGAATTCTTTTTGTCAACCCTCGAACGCAACTTCTTTTTATTATCTTGAAGATTCCTAAACGCTAATGTGTCCCGCTTTACAAATGTTCCAGTCGAACAGATTCCGCGAGTTCCGGTGAAGGAATTGCATTAACGCAATAAACGTGTAAAATAGACATTTAAACCAATGCACAGAAAAAGCAAAAATAATGTTAATATTAATTTTAACAGGAATATACACTGGGAGCTATTTAATATTTTTTATTCTTTACAGCTAAAAAGTTCTGAACGTTTTTTTTCTTTCTGGGTATCAAAAAGAACAAAAATATATATCAGGAGATTTTAAACTTCGAATTTAAAATTATTAACATACAGTGAACGGCAAGCAGGATTTCAAATACCTTTTGACTCAATCAATGTATGTTTTTTTCGCCAACTCAAGTGAGATACAAAATAGGATATATATTTCACAGTACTCGTTTAATAAAACAATTTTTATAGCTACAAGCAACGAACCTTTTAACAATCTAAAACATCTTAAAATGTAATAAATAACAGGGGCTAAAGCTAATTCATAATTTGATTTTCAAATGAGACATAGTTCCATAGTAATGTAGTAAAAACTATACATGGTTTTGATTTTAAGTAACACACATTAATTACATACACACCTAAAACATTGAATTGTATTCTGCATTTAGCAGTTTTACTTAACTATTATTTTGTAAAGAGACTAGTAAAAAAAGGACCAATTCTCATTAGTGTCAAATTGTCATCCTCGAAACAATATTGCTATTTGTGTTGGGTAATAATATGCATCAAGAATCACTTCCAGGACAGATTGGAAGTTGCTATGTTTGGAAGTATGGGATAAAATAATCAGTGTCAAAGTGACGATTTTTATGAACTTATTTTATGAATCGGGATTTATGTTCATTCTATAAACCCAGAAAAGATTCGAGCTTATAAATAACCTGATTTGTGAAGCGTTCATGTTATTATAGCGAAGAAATATAGGATAACGCGCGGATATATCGGGCCAAAATTAAACAGTGCGCGCGCGCAAGTTAGTCTTCACCGCGCTCCTATAGAGCTCGCGCGCTCTAAACAAAACGGTTTACGTAACAGTGTTACAACATAAACAAAAACTCACAAAATATGCCTCTGTTAATGGAGTGCTACATGTTTATTATTCTGTGATATCATTATAGGGTTTAAATCTAAATCAGTTTTTAATTACGTCAAAAACAGTCGGACATAGTTAAGCTATATTTTAAGAAGACTAATTGTAGGTTTGTTTTGTAGATTAATATCGTATTATAAATTAATGAGCTGTCAAGTTATAATTAGGATGGGAAGTAAATAGTTTGATGATTTTTAGGAGGCGAATATTTGTGGAATTTGTCGTGCCAAAAGTATAGTGAGTGGGTGTTGAAGCGTCGGTGTTCTTTATATAAGTGTTTATTTGTGATAATGGTGGCTATGCTGGAGGTCGCTGAAAGGAATAACAATGACTACTTTCGATCTTTTTTACCAGTTGTAAGTCTATTGATGATTTCGATTAATGCAAGTTTAGTGCTCTAGCTCCAGGGATCAAAATTATATGTTAACAGACCCTTTCACTTTTAGGCTCTCCAATTGGTGATGAATATTTCAATCAATTCACTGAACAAAAACTAATAAAATTTAATTCAGTTGAATTAAATTTTATTAGTTTTAGTTTATTAGATTAAGTAATTAATACTTAATCAAATGTATTTCACAGTTAAGCGTTCCTCAATTTACCTACGTTTTACGTTCAGCACCTTTTTGTAAACACACAAACCTTACACTTTTAATGGACAATGCAATAAAAGAAATTGTTTCCACTATAATGAATATTGATATTAGTGACAAAATTTGGGACCAGGCTTCCCTTCCTATACGCTTCGGAGGTTTACGTAAAATTTTTATCTTCGGTCCATGGCACCTATGACCTGAATAAAAAATATTATCTAAACATCTTCAACTGCTGCTATCTCCAATATGGTCGAGGCCAAAAATGTTTGGGAGATATTATCTACAAGTGATTTTCCAACAGTAACGTCAGACCAAAACATAGGGATGTGCTGCTTTGTAAATTAATAGTCTATTAAATACGTCTACTAATTCTGCAGAGCATGCTCGTCTCTTAGCGGTCGCTGAATAGGAATCTGGTCTTTGGTTACAAGTTTTGCCATCGTCGACTGTTAGAACACTTCTAGATAATATAACTTTCCGCCTTGCAGTTTGTCTTCGCCTGGGGGCAACCTGTAATATCTCCCATCTTTGCCCTTGCGGTGAAATGGTGTACTCTTCAGGTCATCACGGCTTATCATGCAGCAGAAGTGCTGGTCGTATCTCTCGGCATGCAAGTATTAATGGTATCATCCATGGAGTTCTTGCTACGGCATCAGTGCCAGCCATTCTAGAACCAAACGAGTTGACTCGCGACGACGGTAAGAAACCTGATGGGATTTCATTGGTACCTTGGAGGATGAGTCGACCCCTAGTATGGGATACCATCTGTGTTGATACTTTGACGCCATCTCATCTTCCAGGAATTTGTCTCTAGGCGGGTGGAGCCGCTGCTGCTGTAGAAAACGTTAAAGGGCGAAAATATTCAGGTATATGTAATACTCACATATTTGAGCCGTTTGGGGGTCGAATCGATGGATCCGATGGGCCCCGGGGCTCATCATCTGTATCAAGAGTTTTAAAAACACTTTTTGACAGGTCTGGTGATCAGAAGACTGATTTGTACCTCGTCCAAAGAATTAGTTTGGCTTTTCAAAGAGAAAACGCTCGCGGCCTTCTGGGAGTAAGGTGCCCAAGGTTGGCAATGATCTGGGGGATATTTTTTTATTTTGTATAGTTAAGACATAGCTTCGATAAGTAGTCTTAATATTATAACTTACCAATTGTTAATACAAATAATTCTTGTTATTACAAAGAGAATGCATCATTGCATCTTGCATTGAATGGGCTCGGAAGCTACATAGTTATTAAATCGTCGGCTAGCTCGGTTGAAAACCCTTCCAGGCTGCAGTCTCATCATAGTTTGCGATCATGAGTTAGCGACCGAATTCGGTGAAAATGCGATCACAAACTCTGTGACTACAGCCCCGGTTAATTAATATACTACTATTATGGTTTAGTCAAACGTATTATATTCCTGAGTCACAACGTCCGCTTTAACAAGTTAAAGCTATACTGTAAGAATAGCTTGTGTTTGCTCACATATAAAATATAATGAGTTAAAATATTCATTCAGTAATTCAAAAATTTAATACATTAATTTAGATTGAAATATAGAGTACATAGATCATTCTATTGATTATATGTATTTCTGTTTCTAAACAAAATTTTGGAACAACAACGCACAATGTTAGGTTGATACCGCAGTAGTCCGTTTGGTCTGGGATGCAGAAGTTAAGCATCTTTCGCAAGGTGCAGTGATAGAATGGGGTTTCCGCAGGTTAAAGCCATTGGTCAGGGCTGCATCTGAAGTCGTTAATACCCACCGATCTGCAATAAACCTGTGTGGTGCATCATTGCCTATTTGATTAGATATATACCAGTCATAAAGAAGAATTGTGCCCCAACAGCCGTATGATAAATGCATATCGAATTGTTGAACGATCGTCAACAATAGTTATCTCAGTAGTCTATCGGTTGAATTAGAATGGTGGACCCCTTAGTCTTACAACTGGTTAGATATTCATATAAACTACGTTAAAAAGTTCTATACTAAATTTACCTTTACTATGTGCGAGTACGAGCAAGCTTATACTAGACAAACGTTCTGTTTAGCAAAAAAAAACAATTGTACATGTTAGCAAATTTATATTGACTTACACAAGTATGTAATAAATGTCAGAAACGAAGAAATAAATAAAAATAAAGAAGGCGCAAATAACATTGAACTGTGATCTTTTTATCTGAGGGAGGATACGCTTCTTTTACGCGGACGAAGTAAAATAATTACGCGTGTTTCCTCAGTGTCTAAACAAACAAAATAAGCAAGCATTTATACGTTTTTAAAACTTGAATTGTGGCCAAGCCGACGACCTTCGTACATTTATCTTACAGACAGCTCGGCGAGATTTGATCCCGTTTTGAAAGAGATATTTCAAACATTTTATTGTAATATAATTACTTTGCGCGACCACACAGGTTTTGGTTTAAAGCCTGTAAGAAGTGCTTTTTTCTATAAGTAAATTCAAACGATTTGTCGCCCGTAATAGGTATGATGTCTGGAAAAAAATAAAAAAATCTATTTAGTCCGTCAGTCCGATAATAGAAATAAGTATATTAGATACCTACGTATTTTGTTTTTTGCTTCGATTTAACAAGAAATGGCTTAGCTAATAGGCATTGGAGTTGAGAAGTGGAGGCTCACTATGTCAACCAGATACAACCAGATAAAAAAGAATTAAATGTCACGCGACGTTATGCGACATTTCAAATAAATCTTTGGAATAATTTAGTTTTCGAAATTGTATTTATTTGACGATGTATTTAGCTATGGCTATGGGTATTAAGCGGTAATTCACTAGACGGGCATACCCGCGGATAAGCCTACATACATGCCTGCTAGACCTCGTTACTATAGGTCTGTGTAATGATTATGACGGTCCTACACTAGACAGATATGCCCGCCCTATACCAAACGAGGTCTGGCAGACATGTCTGAAGTCTTACCCGCTTTTTTTTTACAGTTATTGAAGTAACAGAGATTTTAATATCTTTTCCATATTCTGAAACAACTTCAACATAAATTTAATTTTGACATATACATCATATGATGAGAATACTTTAGTGGTATTAAATTTGATATTTCTCTCATTCCAGGCTGTCAACTCTCCACCTGTCCCCCACCGAGAAGTATCAGGGGTAACCGCTGGCGTCTATCGACCCCAGAATGAAGAGTATACTCAAGTGCAGCGCCGCATAGACCGACAAGTCCCGCCCGAAGTCGATCCAGATCGTAAGAAAGAAAAAAAGTGGTCAATTGGAAAACTTTTCAGAAGAAAGAAGAAAGATGAAGACAGCGAGTCCACTTCTGAAACTGACGAAGGTGTCAGTACGAAATCACCGTCCAAAAAGAAATCCAAGAAAAAGAAGAAAGCTCCTGTAGTTAATAATTTCGATCACATAGTCATTAGAGACACCAGGCGAGCTCAAAGCTTAGCGAAACCAAACATTCATGACATTACAGATGATGGTGTATTGTCAGACCCTTCGGCAGGTTTTGTCAACTATCGAGCAAGAAATCAACATCTTTATGGTGCTTCGAAAGAATCTTTGAATTCAAGAGGCGATAATTCCAGTAAATCGATGAAAAACTCACTTGATTCTAATTCTAGGAAAACCAGGAAAGGTCGATTAAAAGCTCGTGTGGAAGCACTCAGGAACAGTATGAGAGGTGATTCCAGTAGCGATGAAGAATCACTAAAGTCGTCGAATTCATCTTCAATGGCTCGATTTAGAAGTGAGGACTCATTGATGCGTTCTCGAGACAGTTCTTTAAATAAAAGATCAAGGAGTGCAAGAAATGAAAGATATGTTAAACGATTATCTCGCGATGAAGAAAACCAGCTTAATAAAGAAGCAGAACTAATACAACAAGGTTACACAAAAGCCGAAGTAGAAATGTTAACAAGAACGCCAACGAGTCAAAGTAGTGGTTATGGAACGTGCAAACGAGATCAAGTTAATAAAGTTAAACAGGATCAGCTATATTTAAATGATGTTATACGCCGTCCTATGAAATCGGAATCAATTTCATCTTTTCCATCAACTCAAAGTTATCCTTCATCCATTAATTTTAATGCTAAAGTAAATAACGATCACATTAACTATTCTATTCAATATCAAACCAGTAACCCCAACAAAGAACCGCTTTACGCGAACAGTAGAGAAAAAAGCATTAGTAATCAATACGAAAAACCAGATAATGTCATGTGCGTGAAATTTCCTTTGGGGAATGTCACAAATATAAAAAGAGAAGAGAGAGCTCCACCAGTGCCACCTCCAAGAGATATGCATAGAAAGGTAGCGACACCTTTATCAATGTACTATGAAAATAGTCCCATAATTAATGATAGAACGAGCAGTACTCAAAATGTAGTTCATGGCGTACCTAACAACGATTTTGAAAGAATTATGCGACGAAGTCAAGAACGAATAATAGGTCAAAGTTTTAATGGTTTAAGACGACCTATATCGAATTCAGAAGATCATATTGCTATGCAAAATAATGAATACTTTCAAACTCAACAATATAAATTTGAACAACCCCGAAGACCTGCTTCAGTATCAGCTGAACCTAATCATTATGGACTCTATGCTAATACACCACCATGGAGGAAAAAGATGGACCAAAATCATATTATTAAACCAGAGCCTGTACAGGCCCGACAGGACTTTTTATATTATGCTGACCAAAGCCCTCGTTCTAGAAGGCCCATTAGTATAAAGACTAGTCAAAATAACTATGAAAATCAATATTTAAGTGACTCTCAAGCTTCGCTTAGTATGAACGACAATGTTTATAGAAGACCTCGTAATGCATCAGAGTTTTGGCGAAAAATCGATGATGCTGAAAGACAACGAAGGCAGCAAAATGTGTATGCCAATTCTAGAAGTAACAGTGACTACACAAGTAATACTCAATTACATCGAAGTCCTTATGTAGAAACAAGTAAGGGTATAGGGCGAAGCAATAATCCAGACGAACAAAATAAAAATAGACTTGACTTTAAATCACAATCTTTGGATACAACAGATGATGCCAAAATTTGGAAAGCTACAACAGAATACAAACGTTCGATTACCGTACAACCCCCCAAAACAGTCACATCCCCAATAACCAAAACGCACGTTCGACACAAGTCCGATACATTTGTGCAAAATACATATCAGATGCCTTCAGATGACGAAAAAAGCTCAGAACGTCGAAAATCGACCAATCTCGATGACGCTCTTAATGAACTGGAAGCAATTTATAATAGTTTAGGTTTGGGTGATGAAGACTTACTAGATCGAGCTGAACGACGAGAATTAATGACGCCGAAATTTAACGACCAATTTAATGACTGGAATGGTAATGACGATGACGTTCAGTTGAGAAGTCAACCGACTACACCCATGAGACGTGTACAACGAAGATCAACTTTACCCGATAAACTTCAAGATGACATGGCATTCCGTAGAATGAATTCACTAACAAAAGAAAAGCCAAATTATAAAGAAACGCAATCCCAAATAAGTTATATGTTAGCTTCCCCTGTTTACGTACCGTATGCTTCTGATGACGATAAAAATTCGGATAAAAATGAACCAGACATTGTACATGATGATGTGGTTTATAGAAATATTAAACAAACTAATAATAGACTGAAAACAATGGATCCTCAGCCACCATTTGGTATTCCTGTAGGACCGGTGTCCCCAGCTCCTCAAAGTGATTATTTACATGCAACGCCTGAAAATAAGGGCAGATCACGATTTATTCCGAGAAGATCGCCTGATCTCGTTTCTGATGACTTGGCTTATAGAAGTTTACGGAAAGATAACCGACATTCATCTCTATTTAATGGAGAAGATTATAACGGACATCTAAACAATAATCACAGTTATGTTGAATTTCCATTTACAAAAGATTCAGCAGCTAATTTGAAAAAGAAAAGGGCAGTTAGATCACTTTCTGCAAATATTTTCACTATGATACAAAAAGAGATTGATGATGCCCTCAATATGAGTAAAGTAGCGACTTTACAAAAAACAAATAGCAACAGCGATGTTATGAGACGACTTCGTGAAACTTTTGAGAGTAATGATAAGGACCAAGATCATTATCCTCGCAATAAGGTAAAACAAAGACATAATACTGTTAGTCTCTTTGTCAATAACTCACATCCTGGTGCACCTCATTTTGCTAAAGATGATTCATTCATTCACAATGATGATAAGTATCTCGCTAAGCCTCCATCCTGTGATAAGTCCAAAAGCTCATCACCATCTAATAGGTCTCCACAATCATCAAAACGTTCTTCAAAAGATGAATTTCAGCACGTGCTTAGCATGTTGGCTCAAGAAGCTATGGATACAAGCAACAAGTTAGGCGTAGCATTAGCTGAATTAGACAAGAATAGAAACAACTCTGAAAAGAAATCCGACATTCAAAGCCGTATTACTGACAGCAGATTATTATTTTTAAATGGTTTAACAAACAAATCCGAAAGTTCATATCCTGAAGTAAAAATAGTTAATGTACATTCAGAGATATTGGGTGAGCGAAAACCTGAGTGTAAAGAAGTAAAACCAAATTCAGACAGTGAATCAAAAGCAAAAAAGACGGAAGACAGTCTTTTAGCAATTTCAGATCAATTGCACAAAGTAGAAGATCAACTTAAACACAGTTTCGAAAAGGAAATAAATTTTGAAGACGAAAGTACGAAACTGTCAAATTATGTAAATAAAAATACCGAGGAAAGTTTAAAAGCCGAAGAAAAACATGTGGATTTGTCAGATAATAAACTAATACCAGATGTTGTACCATTAAATGTGCAAAATGATTCAAGAAGTATAGAAAATATTCACATTGTTGAAAATCATTCCGACAGTAAATTAGATAAACCCTTGTTTAACCCCCTTAACCCTTTTATCAATTGTGACGACAAAATAAAAGAAATCAATGAAATTAATGCTTTTAAAGAATTAAAAGACGGAATATCTGACTTATTAGCAGGCATAACACAGGTAAATGAGAAAATCTTTATACCCAAAGAGCAACCTGAAAGAGAATTCAAACCTACCGAAGAAAAAGTAGCTAGTATCACAGAGGCAGCAGAAAAGCTTAATCAGGTTACCCAAAATCCACCCAAACAAGACAAATCTAACAGAGCTTCCGTAAATCTATCTATTTACGAAAATGATTTAGAAATAAGGAAAGAAGCTGCTGATTCAATTGAATATAACTCTTCAGAGGAACTAGCAACAATATTTAAATTAGATAGAAATAATAAGTCATCGAATCAAGCTTCTAATGAAATTCAAGAGTCGGATAAAGTGATACGCGATGATCTTAGCTCACCAAAACTGGTTCAAACTATGAACCAGCAGCTAAGAAGGCTGTCAGTTGATCAAACGAGTACTCCTAGTCAAAGTGACTCACAGCCTACTAACATAGTGCCATGGAGAACTAAAAGGCAAAGTCATAACTCGCAAAAAGACAAAAGAGGTACGTGGCCCATTATCATGCACGGAATTTGGTTTTCATTTTAACCATTCGCATCTGGCTTTTTGTGTTCATTTCATGTCCGGGGCGTATGTAGACGAAACAGATGTTATTACAGATCAACTGACAAAACAGCATTTTGATTGATATAATAATCGTTCCTCTAGTACATTAAAGTTATCTTTTGAATAATCATAACTCATTTAATTGGCAAAATGAGAGAACTGTAATAATTATTTGTTTAAAGCAATACCGTGTAGAAGTCCCTAAGCGGTCTAAATATTCGTCTACATAAACCAGTTGAATGATTGTGTTTAGTTGCGTGAAGTACTAACTAGATATGTATATTTGTCCCGACAGGGGATAATTCGCAGTCGAAGCGTCGTTGGGACGACTCCGGCACGTTGATGCTAGCTTGCTCCTACACAATGATGTTCTCCCAGCACTTAGCCGACCTGGACTGGCTGACACTGCTCGGCTTACTATTAGCCATAATCACTATAATCGCTATGCTATTAATCTAATTGTCGTAGAAACCTTATACACTATATTAAGTTAATTTCACTTTTTTATTTTTAATATCATTTAGAAAGTACTTAAAAGGCAATGAGAGACATTTTTTACTTATGCAAAACTTACTTTGAGTAATTCATATATTATTATAAACTTGTTTATTCTAAATATCGTAAATACTTTTTACAGACATAATCAAAGCTTTCCCTAAGCCTAAGAGTAAATAATTACTTTTTTCTATGTAACGTCTATAAAAGAATTTAAAAAACGCTCAGTATTTGTATAAAAAAATATTCCTCGTCAAATATGAAAGTATTTCCTTTTATAACTGAGATCAGAGCCAAAAAACATAATATTATTTAAAATTTTAAAAGGATAGAGCAAAAGAAATCGGTCCTCTAAATATGTTTGTCCACTTTTCTCACGCAAATCTGTTTATTATGTGAATCTGAAACCAAACATTGCTATTTTTGTTTAAAATATAATATAAAGATTTAACTTTTGAAATAATCAATAATAAGAAATTTCACGTACGTATAGATACAATCTTAATAAAATGAAATTGAATTTAAAATAATAAAATGCTCAAACTTAACTATCATATTTTTCATGAACTAATTTGTTAACTTAAATTAATGCATTGATATCACATTCTTATCTTATAATTATAGGTATTAAATTAACCTAACAAAATATTTCATTTATGGTCTAGCTAACATATCTAAATGGTTACCTATTTTAAATTATTTATTATTATAATTCTACGTATGTGACTTAAAAATAGCTATAATATACCACGGAGCAACAAAGATTTCTTAAAATACATAAAAAAAATAAAGTATTTTGATTTATATGTCTGTATAGGTAGATAAATTCATAATTATTTAAGGTAGAGTCTATAATTAGGTGCGCCTTTCAGCATTTTTCTGTCACACTAGGTACTCAATTTCTAAAGTGGATAGAGCAAGAAGCTCATAGACTAAGATCCCATGGACATCAGATATCACTTATTTTCTGATGGACAAAATGTATTGGAAAGAGTAGTGTTAGTAGTATTTACTTCATATGCATATCAGAATGGCCACAATGGTCAATAGTCGTTCATTTTCTTAAATAACTTGAAAACATATTTATTTATAAAAATTACCTTCAGGTCTAATATTTAGCATATTAAAGCGTTATTAAAAGTAATATTTAGCATATTGTTAGCGTAATTAAAGAAAGTCAATCGCGCTTCAACTACTACCTACTATATCTGTCACGGTTGATTTATAAGGAAGATATTGCACTAATAATATCGGACTTCAGGTAGATAGTAGTACAGATAGATAATTAGACAATTACGTAAAAATTAAGAGAATTGAGTAGGCATATGGTCTTTATACTAATATCTGGCGGACTTGTGATCTTATTTTATATGAGCTTCATAGATAAAGCACGAATAAATCCCCTTTTAGTTTTTAAAATTTTGTCGTAACATTGCCAGAGCAAAAATTCTTAACTTGAAAAATGCTGGAAATCACGCATCATTTTAATCCCAACCTTAATTTTAATGTACATTTTTAATGGTTTACTGTGATGTTATTTTATTCAATGGTCCCAGTGCGAACTTTATGTTGTGTGTGCCTTAAAATTTTAACAAAAAGTCGGATTTCAAGTTAAAAATAATAATAGAACGCAACATTTGATGTAGGTATTGAAATTATGAAGTTACACTTTTTGATTCATACACACACCGTTTAGTCATAATTTTTCACTAGGACTTAAGTTAAGTAGTACCTTTGACATGATTTTATCTAAAGCTTTATTTATCGTAATTTTGTAAAAAAAAAAGAATATAAGTTGTCTATTTAGTACATATTCTAAGTAATGTTGTTTTTACCCAACTCAAGAGTTGTTCCTTGGATTTGCTACCCGCCTTTCTACACACTATCAATTTTTACAGACGATTTATGTTTTAATATAAGCTAATTTCCCTATAAAGAAGGTGTGAAGGGTTCTAACTTAATGTTGATTATTTTATCAGCATTACAAAAAAATTGATTTGAATAATTTTTATTGGGCAAAATTGAAAACACCTGTTTTCTTTTATATATAAAAGATTAATCATTTTTTTTTTCAAATTATAAATCCAAAATTCATTGCATGATAAAGGTACTAATTATAAAAAAAAATATTGTTTAATTTATGTTTTAATATATTAGTTCCCAAATCTGTAACAAACAATACAGTTATTTATAAAACCAATATAAAATAAGCTTGTTTTTATTAGTGTTGCATGTTTGTGTGTTTTATTGCATGCTTATCGTAAAGAACTTTTATAGTTGTTTTATTTAAGTTTTAGATAATTATGTAGGTACATAAGCAGGTACCTAATTGTAGAAGTTTAGACCATTTTGATTGCATTTCTAATATTATAATGTTTGCGTTATTTCTCTTTTATATTACAATATTATGTTACAATGTCGGCATGATAAGTGACCATATAATTTTTAAATCTTAGTATCTTTCTACATTTAGGCTTCGACCAAAGTAAACAGGTGGATAAAAAAATGGTAATCATCACCTATGTTGTTATTATACAATAAATATAATTTGTATATTTTTATCTTGATACCTAATTTCTTTAATTACTCAAATTTTAACACTGTTCTACATATATAATGTATGCCCCATGAATTATGTTAAAAAATTAAGTAGGTAATCTTATGGAAACTAAATACCAGTCTTACGGGTTACAGCGGTTAAACTGTTGATTTTTCACAGTATTTGTCTACAAGATGAAATATAAAATCAAAGGTCTACAATCACAGTAACAGATAATTTATATATGTCATAGATACTAATGTTTATTATGTTTTCATCTATTTATTCGTCTGTTTTTAGGTGAAAACTGATTACCTTCAAAACTACCCTGGCAGCTTATAAACACACATCAATATTTACTGTTAATAATTACCTACTATAGGATTAATTAATGATACGACATTGTTAATAATAAACATTTATCAAGATAGTATTATCACAGTATATTTAAAGAAGGATAGAAATTAATAATAATCAGAAACGGATATAGTAGGGCCATCTATGAAAGGCTAAGTGAATCGCGAAGGCTAAGGTTGCTCAGATGTTGTATAGATGGCGCCGGTGTGAAGATACGTATTTGAACAACACTTCTTTACTCATTTGACACCACTGTTTTGGCAAATAATTATTGTGCTTTTAATGTACTATTTCAAAATAAAGCCTACTTCTGTATTGTCTTATAGCTTTATTTGAAATACTTACCTATTATTATGTTTATGTAGAGGCTTCCAGTTACAATGAAAAGAGCGTTATTTATACAAAGAAAGAGTTTATAATTAAATAAAATGTTTCAGTTTTATAAAGTTGTTTCATTAAAACGTTTAATCTATTTGTATCGAAAAATATACTGACCAAACTTATTAATCGATCTGCCAGTCTTGTGCAGGTCAAAAGATTGGCATTGTCAAAGTTTGTGAGGTAAAAATATGAAACTTATTTTGTCCTGCACTGCCACAGTTACTAGTTACTGACCACTGCCATCTATATTACATTTTGATAATTTGATCCTCAGTGAGACAAACGCAAGTACCTAGTAAATAAAATGATTCAACTATTGAACGGTAGATAGCAGAAAAAATAGCTGGCATAGTTTTTAACTTGGGTGGTTACTTTTTGTTTTGAGATAAATATTAGAATGATTATTTTCTATTGTACAATCATTCTGTTGATGATTTACCTTAGAATCATTTTCTAATTTTTTTAATATTGTAATATTTAGACTGTACTGGCAATACATGAAGCAATAGGGTATTTGACACTATCGAAAATAAGTTGCATTTTGTGGTCATCCTGATAGATAATAATTTAATATAGCTTATTTCTTAACATCTGCAGAAAAAACATGTTTAGATTTAGTAAAATAACGTAAAGAAAATGCAATATTTTTAGGAATTTATTCAACGACGAAAACGTCCTATAATTGGTCGTCGTCACAACCAATCACGATTCTGTTTACTGACCTGTGACGTCATCAGCTGTCATGTCAAATTAGTGATAGAAAGATACATAAAATATCGATGCCTGTAGGTATCGAGTACTTTATAGTAATTTACTGATAACATAATACTTTGCCGCTTCTGCTGATAAGAACTGCCAAAAAGAAATACAGAAAGAAAGAATAATATACTAAGCTTTTTAAAAAATCCAAGAAACAGGGAAAAGACCAGCAATTTAAAAAAAAGAGCTACTTATATGTTTTTCTCATTTCTTGAACTTTAATAAAAATAATCCAAAATTACAAAGTCGATTTTAATGATAAATTCTGTTCTCCAAGTTAAAAACTAATAAAAAAATCATCGGGATCTGATGTCTAATTATTAAGTGCCATGCATTTAGTGGACAGACATGTATAAAAAAAATATATAAAAAAAAATAAAAAAAAATAGTACATTATTTTTCGTACTAATGTCTCATCCATCTGTAGGTCAACAGGCTGTAAAATGTGAGCCCTGTCAACAAATATAAATGAGTCGTAAAATGTTTATGATATAGAAAAAAAAAACAAAAAGAAAACATTCAAATATATCGATATGAAATAAAAAAGTTTCAATACTTTTAGCGAATCCTTACCTAATTTTATCACCCATCTCTATTCTATATAGCTACTAATCTATTGTGAATTTGAATCTATTTTCTTCTAGACTCGAAGTTTGTTTGCTATTTATAGAAGTATTAGTACATTGTGGCACCACTTGTAGCTCATTTTATAAAGAAAAGTAGAGGAACATAAAAAACGTAAAAACTACGCACTACGACATCAATTTCTAGCAAAAGATAGTTGTTACTTATCGATTTGACATATATATTGGCCTGTGACGTCACAATCAGCGCCATTACATAGAGCAGCGTTATTGCTATTTAAATTTTAACAATTATTTTCACCAAAAATAGAAAATATTCCAATGAAATATAATGACTATGTGTTTCTAATGTAGCAAACAACGATTTAAAATAGTTTTCAGAAAAGTGTGAAATACCCTATTGCCATCTATCCGGCTTTAGTCGGACATGTTGGAGTTTTTCAGGTTGTTTCCGGATAACTTTTGTTCGGTTTTTGCCTAAATACCAAATGGTTAAAAAAATCCGATTACAGATTGTTGTTATTAAATTGGTAAAGGTATTCACAAAAAGAGAGGTCCCTTATGACACTTAAAAAGAAGATAGAACATAACTTTGAAAGGAATCGAGAAATGTATATTATTAGAAATCATCGCCATCTTGATTTATTTTATTTTTCCCTTATAATGTTTGTAATACATGAAGAAATTAATATAACCATTGATTCTTATCAATAATACTTAAAGTTATTTTTATATTGAATTGAAATTATAACAAAATATTTTCTTTATTACACATACCGTTCAAAAACAGTTATACGTCCTTGTTAATTTTTTCCTTAAATATAGTGTCGGGGCTAAGTTACTCGCGTACTTTCTCCTACATTATTTTTCAAGTTCAATTTGAATACAATTACGTTATTAATGCTTAGACTACACAAGAAAATGTTTTGTGTATCAAAATTAGGTTCTAGGTATATTACCTCTTCGTTTCAAGTTCGTAACGTACATTACAAAAGTAAATCGATTAAAAAGTAAATATATCTATGTCAACTTTAATCAGTTTGGTAACAAAAAAATATTTTGAATATATTTTATATAAAACCTAGAAATTCAGTTTGTTATTTTCAAATAAATGGACTAAAATGATATCCTTATCTCAAATATTAGATAGTGTTGTGATCTGAGTGATAGGAAGTGATCTATGAATTCTTGTGAATCGTTCATATTTCATTCATTAATTTTGAGTCTACCTTATAGTGACAAAATGAAAGTGGTTAATGAGGAAATATAAAAAAAAAACATTAGTTCCCGAAATCAGCTACGTAAACGCAACTCGATTAATACGAACGAATCTTTAAATTTATTTATTTTTTATTTGTATAAAGTAAAATGGAAACTAATTTAATGGAAAATTAATGCTATTAGAATTAGAATGAACTGATTTGATAATTATATTAATATCATTCGACGTGTTTATTGTTCTTCATTCCAAACCTAAATCCGTATAAATCAAGTCAATGAGGAAGTATTTAAAAAAAAAAATAAAAAAACTACAAAATTTTATCTCATTAGATGGCAGCACAAATTGTAGGATTTAAATGTCAATTCCTGACGTTAGACCAAAGAGAATAGAATTGTCAATGTTGTTATGGAACTGATAATTCAGATAAATATCCAGTTGAAATTTAATTAATTCAAGTTACATAACCACAACTCGAGTAATATCAACGAATCATGAATAACTTTATTTTTATTTGTATGAAGAAAAATAGAAACTAACGTAATGGAAGTGAGCATTGAGAAAGTATTTTAAAAGTTATGGAATTCGATAGAATTCATGCTGTGAAATTATTAAAAGTAGCTTTTAGCTACGGTATACAATAATGTTATCGTGAAATTGTTTTTAAAAATAACATACTAGTCGTAAGTTGAATTTACAGCAACAAAACTACATCAAATCGTAATGTTTCCATATTATGTGTGGTGAATGAATTAATAGGGTTTATTAATCAGCATCAAAGGTATAAGAAACGATAACTATAATAAAAAATCCTTTTGTTATCTATATATTTACCCGATATGTATTTTTTTTGCGAAACATTAGCATAGTTTTCGACTTTCACTAGTACTATGTAACAGCTTAGACTAAATTGATTTTGATATTTATATTAATATCATTCGTCGTGTGGATGCATAATGACACATACTAATACAAGCTTCGCTTTTTGTTCTTCATTCCAAACCTGAATTTGGATGAAATTTACGAGTAACCAATAAGTTAGTTCATTAATAATGTTGACCACATGTTAACGTATAAACCAAACATCGTTCCTTTACACGTAACATAATAAATAACTTAAACTTACGATTCAAATAAATTTAACAGTTAGATATTATAAGAAACAGGAAACGATGTCATGTTTATTGTTTTTCGATACTCAATTTACTTTTATTACTTCTGAAACAAAATTGAATGAATATATCGACAATATCCAAACGTCACGAGTGACATCTAGTATGATTTCAAGAACTAATTTTTATAAGCATTAAAAAGCACCTCCACTAGATGGCGACCCTAGCAAAAGTTGACTTTTGCAGGAAACTAATGGACCAAAGATAGTCATTTCCGTTCTGAAAAACCAAAATTTGAACAGATCGAAACTTAGATATCAAATACGAAAAAGTACAAATAGAATATGAGTTGTTTTTAGAGTTTTGAAACTAATTTACTTTAAAATTTATAAGAAAACCAGAAGGTTGTCATGGAAAAATCAAGAACATACCGAGCGACATCTAGTTTGATTTCGAGAAGTAATGTTTTTTTTAAATACTTCCTCATTATTGCAAAAAAGTTGGCAACTCTGGTCTTGATGCAATAAAAAAACGGTAGTGTCATAATTTTTGCCAGATGAGTGTTGTTTATTTTATTTGCGAAAGGTTTATTTTTATATTTTTGAAAAAGTAGTAGATAATCAATTGTGATAATTGTTTTTGTGAGTACTCTGTACTTAGTGCTCAATAGTTTGTGCTTAGTGTTAGCTGTTTAATTGGATTTAGTGTAAAATTGACAACAAAAATTTACTTCGTTCCTGTTGACCCGTCTCATCTGTGATTTGAAACGGTAACGGTTTTATTTAACAATAGATACATAAATTTTCTTTAAGCAAAAAATTGATTATAAGGATAATTATTTCAAGCATAAACTTCATCATAATAAATAGAGCTTTGATTTTTATGCAACAGGCTTTAATAAAACTCTGATAATTTTATCATTTAATTCAATATAATAGTTAATTCGTTAACTTCGTGAACTCAGAACATAAACTGGTAGATATAATTTATTCATTGAATTGTAAAAAATTGTTTGTGGGAAACAAACAAATTTTTACAATTCTACAGTTCTGAGCTTAGCTTAGCTTAGAAAAGATACAACTTAAAAACTTCAAAAGTGGGCTATATAACAGTTGTATTTGTGATTAAAAACTTACATATTCTTGCACAGTAATTATTTTGTTAACAAACAATTTCCTTAGAGAAATATGGTCTTGAATCAACAGATTGTATCAAATGTATACTCAACTGAGAAGGACATAATAACTATACATATCACCTAAGTAGTTTAGTGGAAGCAATAAATCTAAACAATCATTTATTGTCGCCAACGGACCTCCATATAGTGTTTATTTTTAGAACACGTCAAATATTCTAGGTCCTGTATCAAGTGGAACTATGTATCATATTTCAAATTGCATGACATGTAACTTGTTTCCTTCATCTATTTTTGGCTTACAACAATAATAGTGGATTTTCATAAGGTTTTCAATTATGTGTCGAAACTCCAGGAAATATAGGTAGGTGAAAAACCTAACTATCGAAATCTATTGCATTAATACCTGTCTTATACAATCTAATATAATGCAATGCGAAAGTTTAAAAGTTGATATGTGTAACTAAAACCAGATTTATGTATGTGATGGTGTATTACTGATCAAATACTATTAATATTATTTGCATTATTAGACAATAATTAATATAGTCTGAAATAATATTTGGATGTAAATAAAGCTAAAAATTTTATCGAATTGGTAAATGTTATTGAAAAGTTAGCTAGTTCAATCAGGTACCTAGTTAGGAATATAATCTGGTACAAACATGTTAGCTATATGATTTTGGTGAGTCCTATTAATAATTAAAAAATATATTTGCCTGATGATAATATATTAGTGTTGACTTCATTCAATTATCTATCAAAAAGTAATACATTAAATTAATAACTAGAGTATGTTATGTTAAGTTGCATGGCAGGATTTTCCACAACTCGACACTGTTCCTATTTTGCGTGACACGGGGTTGCATTAGTCCTGCCACCCCAGCTCAACACATAAACAGAGTGTGTTATTGATCATAAGTTTTCGCTAGTGTACAATATCATGAAATACAATCAAGCGGTTTTTAAATTTTTATATTGGTCTACATAAATAAAACTTAATTACTTATAAGTCAAGTGATATTTAACAGATAAAAAAATTGAGTTGAAGAAGTGTCATTAGAACAATATTTAATAGAATTTCAATAACCAAATTTTTGTAATGTTCTCTATACAAAATATAATATATTTATTGTTTTATAAAAAAAAGTTCTTCCTTTTTCAGAAATTTCTAGATATTATTTCCTCAGTACCCCATTATGTTCACTCAAAGGCATCTCTGGCATCAAGCTCAGTTTTAATTATGTTTAATGATTATATAAATATTTGGGGCTTATATATAATTTAATGCACTTTTTCAAAAATATTTATCTTACTGTGTTATAATGTTATAGTTAATCACACAACTTTTTTTACTATCTTCAAATGAAAATGATTTCTTAGAATATAAATGTTTGCGTACATTAAAGCTCCTGCCTAGTGTTTCTTTCAACATTAGCAGAGGTGGCATTAACTGACAGTAGTAGTAAACAGTAACAATATAGGAAGATAGTGTAAAACATTTTCCTCCTCTGCTAACCATGATTAAAATTTTAAACATTTAAATAATCAGCTTACTGACTTCACAATGAGGAAGTATTTAAAAATAAATAAAAGCACTAAAAACACATCTCACAAGATTGCAACTAGCAAAAGTTGTTTTTTGCAGGAAACTAATAGACCAAATATAGTAATTTCCATTCCTTTTATTAAAAACTGAAATTTACAAAGTTCAAAACTTACATATCAATACGAATACGAAAAAGAACATGAGGTTTTTTATTGAATTTTGATAATGTGAAGGGTTGTCATGGAGAAATTAAGAATGTACTGTTGCAACATATAGTTTGATTTTGGTAAAAAAATATTTTTAATTATATCCTCATTCTGTTCCTCCTGAGAAGACAATTGAAGTTGTGTGAAATTTGCTTTTCTTCATACAATCATAATAGAAAGAGGTACTCTATTTTCTTGCATAATTCACATTTTGAAATGAGCTACAGTTCTGGATATGGTCTGGTACAAGTAAGGCAGAAAACAGTTCTAATGAAATGATTATGTGTATAAATATTTAGGTAGTGTGTGTAATATCCTAATTGACTTATTTAAATTACTATTAAAAAGGGTGACTTTTGAGTTATAGGTATAAATTTAGTTGTTTTAATTTTATTATCACAGTTAAAATAAGTTTTATGAAACTTATTCAGAAATATCTATTTTAGACTTATCTATGTGCTTAGTGAATACATATAACTAACAGTTTTTATCCAAATATTTTTAATGATAGTAATGTTTGCATTACTATTATTATAAATATTTACATATGAAATTGGTGTTTTGGTATGGGAGGAACAAAAAGTCGAATATTTTTTAATATTATATATTTATTTATAACATAGGAATCAATAAAATTTTTAAAGAAGTTATCCAAATTTAGAAATAAATGGTAATCTGTTGGAGCAAGGTCCGGGGAGTACGGTGGATGTCTTAGATATTCCAATTAAAGTTCTTCTAATTTGGTAGCCGCCTGTTGTGCAGTGTGTGGTCTAGCGTTGCCGTGAAGTAGTAGGGGCGTAGAGCGATTGACTAGCGATTGTTTAACAGCTAGATTTTCCAGCATGGTTTGCAATTACTTACAATAGAGGTCTGCCGTAATCGTCTGGCCAGACTTGAGAAAACTGTAATGAACGACACAGGCACTTGTCCACCAAATGCTTACAAGTAACTTTTTTGGGGTCAATTTTTGCTTGGGGCAGGTTTTAGCTGGCATGCAAGGGTCCAACCATTGCGATGAGCGCTTCCGATTATCGTTGATAATCCACTTTTCATCACAGGTAATAATTCGATTTAAAATTCCTTTATTATTGTGCCGGTAAGTAATGTAAAGCAGCAATCGAAGCGCGTTTGCCGGTTTGCATCACTCAATTCGTGAGGTACCCAACTATCAAGCTTTTTAATATTTCCAATTTGCTTCAAGTGAATTAAAACAGTGTTATAACTAAAGACTGCAGCTAACTCGGACGTGGTTAGCGATGGATTCGCTTCCATAATAGCCTTCAATTCTTCATTTTTAACTTGAGTCTCCGGCCGTCCACGGGGCTTGTTCTGCAGGTCGAAAACCAAAAACGCACTGTGATTTCTTTTGCGACACAACCGCCATACACATTATTAACCCTTCGAGCCGTTTCCGCAGCACTGGTACCACGGTGGAACTCGTACTCGTAAATAACACGATATTTCAAGTTTTCCATTTTTTATACTGGGTGACGTAAATAGGGCAAACAGAAGAAAAAAAAAAAAAATGAATGCCGCCTAACGAAACACAAATACATGTGTAAATGGCTGTATAGATTTGAATTTGGAATTCCCAACCAAGGAGGGGCAATTTCTAATTAAAGCGGTACGACAAAACGCCAATTTCATATGTAAGGATCTAATATTAGGGGTTAAAGTATGAAATTGCCGTTTTATTGAACATTTGAATATCGACTTTCAATTGTTTTTGTTATTCAACTTAGACAAGAAAGATGGATACTGCGGAAATTCCAGTGATTTTGAATACGAGTTCCGACGCCGAAGTAAAACGGCAGAAAGAGCCCGCATTATCAATGTTGCGTTTGGAGAGGGATATGCTAATAAAGTGGATTCTTTATGATAACCGTAAAAAAAAAACCAATAGCCGACCAGGTCAAACGCCACAACAGTGTCCTAAAACAAAACTTACCAATAAAAAGGTAATGGTAACTGTTTGATGGTCTCAGCATGGTGTTATTCACTATCATTTTCTCCGATCTGGTCAATAACTGAAGATGTCTATTGTGCCGAACAAAACTAGCAGTGAAACAGTCCCGACTCATGAATCGACCTTCACCATTATTGCTCCATGACAACGCATCACGATCACCTCATACATCACGAGAAACCGTTTTGACCCTTCAGTCACCATTCGTCATCCTCCGTATTCGCCAGACCTTGCTCCAACGAACTACAATTTTTTTCGTGATTTGGACAATTATCTACGTGACAAGAAGTTTCCTTCCCAGGATTCAGTACAAAATGCTTTCACACAGTTTGTGCAGTCTAGATCCTCTGCAAAAGCATAAATGACCTTCCTATTAGATGGCAGCAATGTTTAGATAATGGTAACTATTTTCATTAAATATATATATATTTTTTAAATAAAAAATAAAAGATATTATATATACCATTAGAATAGGAATTCCGTTGGTATGATAAAATTATATTGAACGAAATTCACTCACATAAAGTGAAGTGGGTAAACAAACAAAAGGCTAACACAGATAATGTTTTGATAAGTAATAATGTTAATACGAGGGTCAAACTGAAAGTTCTTAGAAAATCAAAAACTGATTACATTAGCCAGTTATTAGTTTTATTATATCTTTTCAAAATATTGTCCATTCACGTCAATACACCGCTGCATGCGATGGAACCACTGGGAAAAGCACTTTGCCCACTCGTCCTTAGGGGTCTCTTCAATGGCATCGCGATACGCAGCCACCGCTCCTTCAGCATTCATAAACCGCTTTCCTTTAAGTTTTTCTTTAATTTTTGGAAATAAATAAAAATCACAAGGCGCGAGGTCGGGGCTATACGGCGGGTGACCCAGTAATTCAACGTTTGATGTCGCCAAA